ATGTGTACATTTTGCTATTGTAGATTTTACTAATGAACAGAATTAAATACGAACCTTTGTGTTAATGCCAGCTTTTCCTGCGAATAATTCCTGCCAGTGTAATCCGTGGGACTAAGGATAAACTTGTTCAGCCCTGGCTGTGTGCGGCTCAGTGGTTTGAGCACCGGCCTGCAAACCAAAGCGTGGCTGGAGGATTCCCAGTCTAGGGCACATGCCTGGGTACATGTCTAGGAGTACGTGCAAGAGGCAGCCACAGAGGGATGTTTCTCTCCCTCTCTTTATCTCTCCCTTCCACTCTCTAAAAGTAAATAAACGACATCATAAAAAAATAAACTTGTTCAGGGCATTTAGTATACAACAATGGACTGAAGAAAAATGTAGGAATTACCTTCTGGAGGGCGGGCACCTTGAAGCTAGGATTCCCCACTAGTGAGAGTTCTAGGAGCCCATCTGCATCCGTGACCAACTGGCGTTGTTGTGAGAGGCTGGGTTGGGCTTCTCTGATTTTTTTGACGACTCTCCCAGAGCACTGGCCCATTTCACAATGGGTGACTTACCAGTCCCCCTGCCCACCTGCGCTGAGTGTTCACCAGTTTTTGACTAAAAACCCACGTGCCCCATCCTCCCCATTCACCCGATCTCACCCAGAGTGACTGTTTTTCCTTCCCGCGTGAAAAGAGTCCACAAAGGGAAAGAAATATCCGGACGTGTAAGACGTGAAACAAAACGCCAGAAGCTCTAAGGGGCGTCAGAGCTGCCGAGTGCAGAGAGTGTTCAGGGGGGTGGAGGGACGTCCCCACGGGTGTCCCCCATCCAGGGGGGAGCATGTGAGGGTGACCGAAGGGTAAAGGTGTGAGAATAAAAACTAAATATTTATAAGTAAATTCTCTTTTTGGGTCGCCCCTTGTGCACCTGTGGCCAAATGCATCCACAAGAGTTCACGTTCGCATGAAAAACAGCATGTAATTACCATTCTAAGTTATTTAAACTTCATTCCTTTATGTTTTATATTTTAAAATGGTCTGTGATAGGAATGAAAATCAATAAATATCCTCCCAAATATGTGGAAATGTGTTCCCCTCTCTGGAAACTTTTAGACTTAGACCATTCAGGTAACTTAAAGCACAGGGGGCCAAGGCCCTGGGCTTCTGCCCTGGGTGACACAGGACCCCCTGGGAGGGGCTGAGGAGCAGGAAGGTGAGGGGTTGGGACTCGCTGGCTGCTGTGCAGAGCTTGGCCTGCAGGGGGCAGCAGCGGGATGCAGACTAAGAGCAAAGGGGCCTGCCTTCCTCAGAGGGTGGTCTGGGGGGTGGGCACCTGGCTCGGGCAGGGTAGTGTGGGCCAGTGAGGGGCTTCTGAGCAGGTTCCCACTGGAGAGCTGGGTGCTCCCTGCTGGCGAGGGATAAGGTACCAGCATTACCGCTCGACATTTCATGGCTGATTTCCACGGTGGGATCCAAGGAGAAGAGACCCCAGGGGACATTTGCAGAGGAGGCTCTGGGGTCCCCAGGGATGGCGGTGGTGCCCGGGTCCGCCCTGGGCAGGCAGCCTCTCCACGTGGAACCCTCCTCCTCCTTCCAGGTGGTCCCTGCTGCCCAGCCCCTGCTGGCCTCTCTGTGCACAGCAGGTCAGGATGGGGAGGTGCCTGGTGCCCCGACTGCCTGCCCTCCCTGTGTGTCTCGCCGTGGTCCAGCTGCTCAGCCCCTGCTCAGGTAGAACCGGCTGTGCGTCTGTGTGTGCTCATCCTTTCCCTTCGGGCCCAGTCAGAACCCGGGACTCCGCCCACCCCTGCAAGGCCTGTCCACACCCACCTGTGTGAGACTGAGTTCCCGTCTAGGGGTCTGTCACCTCACCTCCCCGCCTGGGTTGCCACGCCCTCTTCCAACCATGTTTTTTGACAAGGTCTGAACGTGGAAAGAGGGCATTCAAGGAACCCATCTTCCTGGAAGAGAGCGTGGCATACAAAGGCGGGCGGTAATTTTTCTGGGGATTGCTTTTCATAATTTCCTTGCTAATCTTAATCATGGTCTTACTTTGTACCCTGATTCCCATAAGAACAGGCCATGAGAAGAAAGAGGCTCGAAAGAGTCAATGATTGATTTTGAGGGAAATTCTGAAGGGACAACTAGTTCTCCCTAGACTGTTGAATCCTGCCCAGATTGTTTTAAACAAGGAGTTTATAAACCTGAGTAAGACACTATCCCCGATTGTTCCCATAAAAGAATTCATGAATCAGTTACAACAGGTTGAATTATTGGCGGACTTTCCCATGCCTGTTCCTTACCCATAGATACAAAGAGTCCTTCTAGAAAACAAGAAAAAAACTATATAGACCCTTACCCACAGCCCAGGGATACCCCTGGGTAGCATATTAGATTATTGGCAAATTATGGTATCCCCCAAAAGGAGCTAATGGTCTCCAGAGGGTTCCAGATCTCCCATTGCCTTATACAGGAGCCCATAATGAGGGTGACATTAGAATGGTCAATAAGGATGAAGTTCAAGTGCCTTATAATAGTCTAAATTTCATGGAAAGGCTAGCTCGAAGCAGACCTCCCTGGTGTTTATTAAGTAAGAAATAAAAAGTTTATTATAGCTGAATTTCCTGTTTATCTCCCCTTACATGTTTGTTTTGGAGATTAAATGGTGGTGAGATTGTCAGATATCTGTATCTCAGGTTTATTGATTTGCATAATTCCAATGAAGTATAAAAAAATTTCTTGACCAAAGAATAAAATCCCCTCTAATGACATAGCCCCTGAGTGTCTAAAAGTTGTTGGAGTAACAGCCCCGCCTTTACCTTGAATAGGAGTATATATCAAATAGAATTAGACAGGCAAAGAAATAAGAAAAGCTGGTTAACTATTACACACTAAGCATGTAGAAACAGTTACCAGGGAGTTAGAGTCCATGGTACATAGAGAAATACTTTAAACAGAAAAGGTAAATAGGTAAGTTAGACATTACAAAGGCCTTATAATAAATTTCCTATAACCTCTATTCAATTTAGCGTATCCTTTTGCCCCATGACAAATTCTGAGAATTTTAATAAATAATAAGACATTCAAACTCTGTGTGTACAGCTATTTCTAATTGTCTGATGTATGGCTCTCCTGGTTAAAATAATCTTTGTTTAATATAACTGAATCTATGGGAATTTTTGTATTTTTCCTGGTTACCTTTGTACTAATTTTTTCCTGCTTTACCTAATCGCAAATGTCAATCACTGCCAAAAATGAAAGTATAAAAACCTGCTTGTACTTGCAGTAAACGGCACAGAGCATCACTGTCCTCTGAGGAGTGTTGTCGTCTGTCTCCCGTCGCCGACGCCTCACCCTCCTTTCAGGAACCCCTGGACCCAGCTGTGGCCGGACCGCGGCAAACTGTCCTCCTCGTGGGACCAGGGCTGGTTGTGGGGTGAGGCTGGGGCTTCCTGTGACCCCGGGCCCCTCCTGGGGTCTGTGATCACAGCACATAGTGCTCCCCTAACTGGGCTGGGGAAGCACCCCATGGAGACACCTTCTGTTGGTGACAGTGCGGACCCGGGTGCCTGGGGCTGGAGAGACATGAAAGCAGGAACAGTGAGGCTGTGTCCCCCCCCACCCCCCAGGTGTCCCGAGGGGACAGTGGTCCTGCAGCAGTGCAACTCCACGGCGGACACGGTGTGCGTCCCCGCCCGGTCCAGGTGAGAGGGGGGTCCTGCTGTTAAGGGGTCTGTCTGAGGAGAGGAGACCCCGTGACCCGGGGGTCGCTGTCTGACGGCAGGGGGGTGGGGGGTGCCGTTCCCGCTCCTTCCCATCAGCCCTGGGACCAGCAGCTCGCCCCCTCCCCCCGGCCCCCCAGCAACCCTGAGTTACTTTCTGGGATGGACCCCCTGTTCAGGACGGGTCACAGACACAGAATCCAGTGATGTGTGGCCTTGTGTGCCCGGCTTCTCTGGTTCTGGCTGGTGTCCTCAGCCCCTGGGTCACGGTGGGACCTGCCAGGGCGTCACCTCTCTGTGTGGCTGAGGGACACTCGGACGTAGGTGCAGACAGACACGTGTGGTGGTGTTCACTCTCCTGCTTAGGGACTCGGGGACACTTTTAAACAGACCCCAAGCCCCGACCGCTCTGTGACAAGGACAGCTTTTCAGTCAGTGGTGTTGGCCACCCTGGACGTCCCCAGGACGAGGAGTAGTTGGACCCTCACATGACAGCAGACGCAGAAACTAACAAGGACCCAAGGACCCACCTGCATGGTCTGAAGACGACAGAACCCCTGGAGGGTCAGAGGCGACGTCTCCTGATGTTGGATGGAGTTTGGGGGCCCACGTGGTGACATGGGGGTTAGTTGGGGGGGTGTCTGTGTGAGACTAGTCTCACGGAGCCCCCGTCCCCCGGTCTGTCCATGGTCCTACGATGACCGGGGTCCTCCTTCCTGTGGTGACGGATTCCAGTGGGTGCGTGTGCGTGTGTCTGTGCGCACACGACGCGTCTCTGTCCATCCATCTGTGCATCTCACTGTGGGCGGACTGTGTCTCCCCCTCGTGAGCAGTGCTGCCGTGGACGCGGGGTGCAGGTGCCCGGACCGAGGCCTTTCATGTCCTTCACGAGCACACGTGGGGCCGGTCTGTCTGTATTCGGTCTCGCGGCTGCTGGAAACTTTGTCAGCGTGTGACTTCACTGTGACATTTCCTGTTTCTCCCGGCGTCAGAGCGCAGACAGCGGTGGTTTGGTCGCGAGCTGTTTCGTGTTCCCCCGGTTTGTCTGGGCATCACCGTCATCATCACCCGTGTCTTCATGAAGAAGCCAAAAGTCGGAGGATTCGAACCCGAGTGCAGTGGGCCCCCCCAGTGGGGCGCGCTCCAAGTTGGAGCCCCAGGAGGAGAGGGAGGGACACCCCGCCCTGGGGGCGTGTCCGGGCGCAGCGGGAGGACGGGGCGGGGCCTCTGCCGGGTCTTCCGGCTCCTCCCAACTGTGTGGCAGTGCAGTGCGTTTTGAGACAGCCTGGCCCCCGGGCCAAGTGAATGGTGGCGCTTTGTTCGGCATTTCGGTCTGCTCGCTTGGCTCCAGGAGACCCACTGGGCGCCCAGGCGCTCCCGGGGAGAAGCTCCCGCAGAAGAGACGCTGTAATTGCGTCGTCCACTAACGGCGGGCGCCTTGTGGAGGGCAGTCCGCGTCCAGACTGCTCTGGGCTTCCCGCTGCCATCCGCACGGCCTGCAGGACCCGCGCGGGCTGCGGCGGGAGTGAAACTACCGCGCCCGGCTCCGCCGCTGCCCCGGAGCGGGGCTCGCTCCGGTGTCGGCGCTCCCCTCCCCGGACTTTGCCGCTGCTGCTCGTCGGGGCGCAGGTGGGTGCGGGGCGCTCGGGGAGGGCAGACCCCGACGGCGGGGCGGTTGTCGCCCGGGGCTGGAAGACACCGCGGGCAACTGGCGAGCTCCGAGCGGGGTGCGGGGCGGGGGCTGGGGGGGGAGGAGACCAGCGTGTTGTGTTACGACCCCCGCACCCGCGCACTGGGGTCCCAGCGGCTCGGGGTGGGAGTTCTCCCGGCGCGCGGGCGGCCCGTTCCCACTCCCGCGGCACCCCAGATTCTCCACGGGAGAGGCGGGGGAGGGCGTGGGGAACACAAGGCCGAGGTCACTGGTGGTCCGGTTCCCAACACGCCGGGCAGGGACCGGTCCGCGGGGTGTGCGCCCCGCTGAAGGTCTCGCTGGCAAGGGCGACCCGAGGTGGGTCCCCATTTTTCCTGGGAGACTGCAGACTGCCCACTTTCTGCCCGGCCCTCTGTGGAGCCAGGCGGGCGGAGTCCCTGACTGTCGCGGAAGTGTGAGTGAGCGAAACACCGCCACCTTCCGACCAGAGGCGGGTGGGGGTGGGTAGCAGCGTTGTCTGCAATCCCAGGGCGTGGGGGCGGGGTTGTGGGTGGAAGGTGGGAGGAGCGGTGGTTTGCAGCCCCGGGCGTGTCGGTGGGACTGCAGGGGGAGGGGCAGGGACCGGAGCCTGGAGCGTTTGTTGCCTCAGCCCTAGACACCCCTTCCGGAGATGGGCGGAGACTTTCTCTTAAGAAACCCCGTCTTTTATTTACTGAAAATCAACTCTGGCCTTACGGTACAGAGGCTGGTTTCTATATGACCTGGGCTGCGCAGCACACTGGCCCGGAAGCTACAGAGCGGCCCCCAGGGTAGTGGTGGCCAGGGTCTTCGTGGTGCACACTCAACACCCCTCTTCCCGGAGCTGCACACGTCGGGAAGAGCCAAGGATGAGGCAGGTCCCCAGTCCCTGGGACACATGGACCCGGGAATTAGTCCAGAAGGTTCCAAGGAGTTGCTGCAGACAGGCTGCCAGGTGCTCTGGCACCTCCTCAGGCAGAGGCTGCAGGAACCAGGGGAGGTCTGTGCCCTGGGCCACACCATCACCTCTGTGCGCCCCCCTTCACAGGCTCCTACGGGTGCAGAGTGTGAGACCTGGACGGGGTCTCAGAGTGCAGCCTGAGCGAGCCTGGGTCCTCCTTGGCCCACCGCCACCTGGAGCCCGCATCCCTGCTGTGTGCCGAGTGCCGGCAGGGTGAGTGGGCGCAGGGAGGCTGGGGGAGGCTCCTTCATTTCTGCAGCCCGCCCCACGTCAACCCGGCTGGTAGGAATCACCCCAAGTGTGGGTGTCACAGGTGAACAGGGTGATGGGGCAGGCAGGACAAGTGTCTCCTAGGATGACATGGAGTCTGTGGTGAAAGGGTCCCCCTGAGGCCCCCGGCAATCAGAGCCGCTGTCTGAGAGAGTAAGACACACGGGTTCACCCCGAACCTCTGGGTGCCCCGCAGTCTGTGGAGGAGGATGGGGTCCCAGCACCTTCCCACCCAGTGCTCCCGCCACCAGGGCAGCGACCCTCCACCCAAAGTCCCCTGCACTTGGGCAGGGGAGGGGGCGGGGACTTAAATGTGAGCAGGAGTCAGGTTAGTTAGAAAGGTGGCAGACGCCCACCTAACACGACTGCCTCACTGAGGAATAAAACGCAAGGAATTTCTAAATATATTTCAGGATTCCTTGTTGTCGTTCTGAGGAGAAGGCCATCGGCGTTTCAACAAGGACAGCCTGAGTCTGGGCTTGGCTTCGGGCAGTGGGGACGGGGTGACAGTGTTGCTCCTGCCGACCCTGAGCTCAGTGTGTCCCCTGTCGCATCCCCCCTCTTTGTCTCCTTTCTCGGTTCCTCCAGCCGTCAGGGCGCAGGCTGTCCGCTCTCTGGTTGACCTTGTTCCCGGGTGGTTTCTGCTTTCGGACACAACCGCAGGAGGGGCTGACAACACCTCCCTCTGGTTACCCGTCACTGCTGCACGGAAGTGCACCCGGTGTCCACGTTGTGTCCTGCGACCTCACTGCCTTCATTTGCACGTTCTCATGGGATTTCGTGGGTCCTCAAATGGTCCTACGTAGCCCGTCCTGCCATCTGCGAGCAGTGCGAAGGCTCCTCCTCCCTCTGATGTGCTTGCTGTTTGTCTCTGTCTCGCGTGAGCGCTGTTGCTCGGACTCCCAGTGCTCTGGGGCGGGGGTTGGTGAGGGTGGGCGTCTGTCTCCCTCCTGATCGGAGAGGGGGAGCTTTCGGCTTCTCACCGTTGTGTGTTGTGTCACGGTGTGTCCAAGAATTACGTTTGGTTGGTTGTTTAAGATTTATTTTATTTCTGTTTAGAGAGAGGGAAAGGGAGGGAGAAGGAGGGAGAGAAAGATATTCGTGTGTGGTTGCCTGGTATGACCTTCCTACTGAGGACCTGGCCCACAACCCAAGATTGTACCCTGAGTGGGAATGAAACCAGCGACCCTTTGGTTCCCAACCCTGCTCTCAGTACACTGACCCCCACAAGCTAGGGAAGGAATTATGTTTTTCATAACACATTTTTATTCATAATTATAACAAAATTGGATGCAATTTATACACAGTGCTCTTGTAGATTTCACTATAATGAACAGCATTAAATGTCAGTTTTTGTATTATTGCCAGTTTCTGTTTAAAAGCAATTCCTGCCAGTGTAATCTTTGGTGCTATGGATAAAACTTTTTCAGGGCATTTAGTATACAAGGAGTGACCCAACCAGAAACAGAAAAAAAATAAATAAATAAGCCAGCAGTTACCTTCTGGATGGTGTGCCTCTTGTAGTCCAGGCTTCCCCACTAGGAGAGAAAGTTCTAGGAGCCCATCTGCATCCGTGACCAGCTGGCGTTGTTGTAAGAGGCTGCGTTGGGCTTTACTGAATTTGTTTGAGGACTCTCCCAGAGCACTGGCCCATTTCCTGACAGGTGACTTACCAGCCCACCTGCCCACCTCTGCTGAGTGTTCAGTAGTTGTTTTTTTTTCAATAGTTTATTTTTTTAAGATTTTATTTATTTATTTTTAGAGAGGGAAGGGAGGGAGATAGAGAGAGAGAAACATCAGTGTGCGATTGCTGGGGGGGTCGTGGCCTGCAACCCAGGCATGTGCCCTGACTGGGAATCGAACCTGCAACGCTTTCGTTCGCAGCCCGAGCTCAACCCACTGAGCTATGCCAGCCAGGGCTGTGTTCAGCAGTTCTTGACCAAATCCCACGAGCCCCACCCTCCCTACACTCCCAATCTCACCCAGCGTGACTGTTTTTCTTTCCGGCATGAAAAGAGTCCACAAAGGGAAAGAAACATCCCGTAACACGTGACTCGTAAGACGTGAAACAAAACAGCAGAAGCTCTAAGAGGTGTCAGAGCCGCTGAGTCCAGACAGTGTTCAGGGCGGTGGAGGGCTGTCCCCACCGGTGTCCCCCATCCAGGGGGGAGCATGTGAGGGTGACCGAAGGCTAAAGGTGTGAGAATAAAAACAGTTTTGATAAATAGATTCTGTTTTTGGGTCGCCCCTGTGTGCATGTGGCCAAATGCATCCACAGTTCACATTCACATGAAACAGGATGTAATTCCCATTCTGAGTTATTTAAATTTCATTCCTTTAGGTTTTAAGTTGGTGTGTGATAGGAGTAAAAACCAGTAAATATCCTTCAAAATATTGTGGAAATGTGTCCCCCCACTCTGGAAGTTTTTTAGTCTTTAAATCATTGAGATATTTTTATTATTATTTATTAATTTTAATTTTGTTCAAGTACAGTTCTCTCCATTTCCCCTGAATCACTGCCCCCCAACCAAGCCATCCCCTAAAACAGTCAGACAATTTAAAGCACAGGGTGCAAAGTCCCTGGGCTTCTGCCCTGGGTGACAGGGGACCCTGTGGGAAGGGCTGCCCAGGAGGGAGGTGAGGGGGCGGGACGCGCTGGCTGCTGTGCGAAGCTCGGCCTGCAGGGGTCAGCAGCGGATGGAGACTCAGAGCAGAGGGGCCTGCCTTCCTCAAGAGGGTGGTCTGGGGGAGGCACCTGGCTGGGGCAGGGAAGTGAGGGCAAGTGGGGGGCTCCTGAGCAGGTTCCCACAGGAGAGCCCGGTGCTCCCTGCTGGCGAGGGATAAGGTACCTGCATTACCGATCCATGTTTCATGGCTGATTTCCACGGTGGGATCCAAGGAGAAGAGACCCTCAGGGCACAATTGCAGAGGAGGCTCTGGGGTCCCCAGTGATGGTGGTGGTGCCCGGGTCGGCCCTTGGCAGGCAGTCTCTCCACGTGGAATCCTCCTCCTCCTTCCAGGTGGTCCTGCTGCCCAGCCCCTGCTGGCCTCTCTCTCTGTGCACAGCAGGTCAGGATGGGGAGGTGCCTGGTGCCCCGTCTGCCTGCCCTCCCTGTGTGTCTCGCCGTGGTCCAGCTGCTCAGCCCCTGCTCAGGTAGGACCGGCTGTGCGTCTGTGTGTCTGCATCCTTTCCCTTCGGGCTCAGCCAGAACCCGGGACTCCGCTCACCCCTGCAAGGCCTGTCCACACCGCACCTGTGTGAGGACTGAGTTCCCGTCTAGCTGTCTGTCACCTCACCCTCCCTGCCTGGGTCACCCCCTGACCCTCTGGCCCTACTCACTCTGACGGAGCCCCCCTTCTGATGACCAGCTGAGTTTGCTGTGGTCGGACCCCCCGAGCCCATCCTGGCCATGGTGGGTGAAGACGCAGACCTGCCCTGTCACCTGTCCCCGAAGATGAGCGCTGAGAACATGGACTTGACGTGGGTGCGACCCGGCCGCAGGCAGGTAGTGCACGTGTACGCACACGTGCAGGAGAACACGTCGGCAGAGGAGTATCGAGGGAGAACTGCGATTTTACGAGAGGACATCACTGCGGGGAAGGCCGCTCTCCGGATTCACAGCGTCAGGGTCTCAGACAACGGACCCTACCTGTGTTCTTTCCAAGATGGAGACTTCTATGCAAAAGCCCAGGTGGAGCTGCAGGTGGCAGGTGAGCCTCAGGCTTGTTCCAGGCTCCTTTCTGTGGGCGGGGGCAGAGGCTGCAGACCTACCCCAGAGCACGTGGGCTGCTCACCAGCATGGGTGCCCCCTCACCTCCATCTCTGCTCCTCTGAGGCCTGTGAGACACCCAGGGGTCCCCCAGGGTGACTTCCTCCTGCTCCCAGTACAGAGTCCCCCATGCCGCCCATGAGTCTCAGCAGGGGGGTGGAGGTCCAGGACGGGAGGAAGGGGACCTCCCCGCAGTGGGTGGCAAACGGGTGTTTGGGTTCAGCATGTTCCAGACCAAGGCCGTGGGACGCCCAGTTGCCCGCTGCACTGGGTCCAGGAGTCTGACCTACAGAGACAACTCCTGTGGGGCCCAGTTTCCCCGCTGACCCCCGGGAACACAGCTGCAGTTGCACAGGTTGTGTCCGTCCTCGGTGCAGCGAGGGAGGACGCTCCCCTGGGGACGGGGACACTGGGGTGGCTCAGAGAGGGGTCGTCAGGGAGGATTTGGTGCGGTTCGGGGGGATGTGGAGGCAGCGCTGGCCTCTGGGTGGGACGCGGTCAGGATGGTGGGGGTGTCACTGGTCACTCACAGCCGGCACAGGGAGGTGGGTCACCGCACACGGTTCCTGTTTCCTCTGTGCTGTCACCCCACCCTTGAGTGGCCTTGATGTGGCCCTGACCCACCCCAGTGACAAAGCGCCTTGTCTGAGGTGCTGCCCCACGAACTTGCCCGTGTCCTTGCATCAGGGCTGCAGTTCTCGTTCCCCGGACACAGCCCTGCCCTATGGCTTCCAGTGCGGGGGTGCTGCTGGAGCGGGGACGGTGCAGCCCCCGGCCTTCTCCCCGCTATGGCCCCTCCTCAGCCTGCTGTCCTTTCCTGGAGACCTCGGCTCCCCCGACGGAGCCCCCCCTGCAGGACTCTGTGTGTTCAGGTCCTCAGAGGGCTTCCTCCCCCTCCGTGTGATCAGGGGGTGGGGACAGGTGGCAGTAGCTCCCCTCTTCCTGGCCCTATGTCCGCTGTCTTCCGTGGGAAAGTCCTCCCCTCTGCACAGCCTCACTGGGGACACTTCCGGGGGGAGACCCTGCAAGGCGATCTGAGCAGCCTGGCAGTGAGGGCAGAAGGAGCCTCCCAAGGAGCCGTGCATATAAGTCCCTGCTCGGGCGGCTCCAGGACACCGTGTGTTTCCTCCTGCTCATGGGACAGCATGGCCCCCACAGGACAGGCAGAACAGACAGGGGCAGTGGCATGGGACCCACTTAGGCTAAGGGGCACCACCTGCATGCTTGCCCAGGGAGGGATGAGCAGCTGTGCCAGGGACCAGCCTGTCTGGGACAGGGGGCAGAGGAGGCTGCAGCAGTCTCTAAGGGGACTTGGGGAAGTAGCCTCTGCTCTGGCCCAGAGCCCCCTGGATCCAGCACGAGGGTCCAGCCAGGGTCAGGCAGTGGCCCCATCGGGGATCAGTCTCTGCTGCACAGCACACGCTGGGAGTAGCTCCTGGTGAGTCCCTGCTGGGCTGGTCAGTGTGGGCGCCCCTCCCTGGTGAGGACACCCCACCAGTACAGAGGGCTCCCCACGATTCAGCTCACTTTTCCTCCCCAGCGCTGGGCTCTGATCCCCACATGGACATGAAGGGCTACGAGGCTGGAGGGATCCGTGTGAACTGCACGTCTGCCGGCTGGTACCCGCAGCCCCAGATCCAGTGGAGAGACGCCAGGGGACAGAGCTTGCCCTCGGAGGCAATATCTGAGGCTGCAGACCCCCAGGGCCTTTATGCAGCCTCAGCCTGTGTGATCCTGGAAGGCGGCTCTGGGGAGGGGGTCTCCTGTGTCATCAGAAACCCCCTGCTGGGCCACGAGAGGTCAGCCAGGCTTTCCATCGCAGGTGAGTGCCGTGCCCCCTGCCCTGGTCTCCTGGGTGGTCCCTGGGGGAAGGTGTGGTTGTCTGCTGATGACCTGGGTCCCTGAGGGGCACAGAGCGGGAATGTGGGCTCCTTCCCCTGAACTGGTTCATGTCACAGACACCTTCTGAGCACTTCCTGCCACACACGGTGCCAGGCCGTGGGAAATGGGGGCAGATGGCAAACTTCAGCAAACACACCAGGAGGGAGAAATACAAACAACCCAAATCTCAGTGAAAGGGCTAATCTTATTACTATGTAAAGGAACATGGTGGATAAAGGAGCAAAAACGGAAATCATCAGTTCCCAGGAAGGTAAAACTCCCAGGAGGATGACAAATTTCTTGGAACAGGGAACTATTTCCCCCTGTGAATTTGGCCGCAGCAGGACAAACGAGGTGGTGGGCGTCCTCTGGTGGCGGGCTGTGGGGAGACAGCCCCGTAGCCGTCTGTCCTCCCCGTGTTGGATGGTGTTCCTGGGGGTCGGCCCCCGTGCTGTGGGGGCGCAGGGCCGTCTGCACCCGAACTGCTCACTGACTGATGCAAACCCCACTTCTGGGGACCACCCCACGGGCCAGCCTGCAGCGGTGGGACGTGACCCGTGTCTGGGTATTTTCAAACCAGTGACCCCGGGACAAAGGGCAGAGCCTCGGGGTGCCCTGGGGGAGAGACCCGGGCCTGCTCCCTGTGCTGGAGCGGGCAGGTCGCCGAGACACAGGACAGGACAGGTACCTTGCTCACCAGCCGCATAGGGGCCTGATTTCGCCATCACCAAGGTGAAATAATCCGTTTTTAAAACTGAATGAAACCGGCGTGGCACTCACCCTGTGTCAGGCACTGCATAAGCACTAACTGAATGCTCTCCCTGATCAGGACACAGCAACAGACGGTTACGTCATTAGCTCAAGGTCACAGCGCTGGTCGGGCAGGAGACCCGGGACTGGAACCCAGGCCCCCAGCCCCAGAGTCTGTTCATCACCAGGCTCTGCTGACTGGGGGGCAGGTAGTCAGTGTCGGGGGGGTGCAGAGGGGACGTCAGTGACACTGTGTGTGCGTCCTCGTGCTCCATCTGATCCCATGGGGGGGAGACGTTTCAGGAAAACCGTCCTGTGTGGCAGTGAGAGTCTGGGCGCTCTGGGGACAGAAAGATCCCTTCAGGGGCTGACGCCACCCCTTCGCAGGCTCCTTCTTCAGGGACACACAGCCTTGGATGGTGGTGCTCGTGGTCGTGCTGGGTATTGTGCTGGTGGTGGTGGTGGTGGTGGTGGTGGCGGTGGTGTACTTGCTGTTGCGACACTGGAAAAGGAAGAAGGCGCCGACTCAGGATGAGGGGAGCGAGCACGAGGTGAGAAGGAAGCAGCAGGCAGAGCTGCAGGGTGGGGGAAGTGCCCAAGGTGAGACCCAGCTGCAGGAGGTCACGACCTCCCTGCCCCACCCACACCCACCCCCTGCATCCTCCTCTGCATCCCCTTATCGGGACTTCATTTTCTGTTTATTTCCAGAGACGCTGCAGGACCAGCTCGGTAAGCCCCCATCCGCGTCCCCAGCGCGTCCCCAGCGTGCGCAGCTCAGCCTTTTGGGCGGCGTCCGCTCCCCCGACTAGAGCCCGGAGCGGCCGTGCTGGGGAAGACCCACTCTGCTGGCCTAGACCTCGGGGTGCACAGCGGGGCGCAGAGGGCACGGGGCTTGTACAGCTTCCCAGGACTGCAAAATGTCCTCCCCACCTCGGGGCTGAAAGACACAAAACTGACCGTGTCCCGGATGTGGAGGCCACAAGTCTGATCCAGGTGTTAGGTCGGGGGTCGGGGGGCCGGTTTCGTCCAAGGCCCTGGGGGCAGGTCCCCCCTCCCCTGCACTCACCTCATCTCGGGTGGCCAGCTCTCCCGGGTGCTCCTTGGTGTGAGCGCCCATCAGACAGCACCGGCCTCTGTCCTCACCCGGCCTCTTCCCCGTGGGTCTGTCTCCTGATGACCCTCAGTGGGCACTGGACGTAGGGCCCACTCTCGTCCAGTACGGCTCCCTCGTCTGCAAAGGCTGCATTTCCAGGTCACAGGACTCTGGATGCAGACCTGTCTTGCTGGGTTCACACACAGCCCCCCTGTCTCGGACTCCCTGCAGAGTTGGGGGGCCACCCTGCACCTGACCCCACGAAGTACTTTTCTCTGCTACCTCACGTCCCCACCTGAGCTATCAGACGAGGTGGCATTTCCCCCAGAAGTGGTTGGGGAGGGCTGGGCTGCAGGCCCCTGCCACCAAAGGTCACGGCTTTCTTCTTCAGTCACAGGGAGGCACCCAGCCCAGGGTGAGTCTGCTGCCCCAGGATGCAGAGCGGGGCCCACCAGGTGCCGGCGCGGACCCCAGACCACTGCTGGAGCAGCAGGGGGCAGCCGTGCGGTCCCCTGAGGACTCTGAGGCCAGTGTCGAGCTGCAGTCAGTGGTCCCCGAAGCAGGCAGGGCCACCCCGCAGCAGGCGCTGCAAAGCCAGGTGCCTCTGGCGGGGCAGATTACCCTACACACCTCATACCTGGTGAGGGGCATCTTGGTAGGTGTGACAGCAAGGACACCTGTGTCCGTGGCACACGTGCCGTGTGCGTGCAGGGCGTGCGCACTGCCGCCCTGCGTGCCCTAACTTCCTGTCCGAGTTTCCCGGTGACGGAGACACAGCCCCACACACCAGGCAGCTTAAAGGACAGAATGTTACTGTCTCCCTGTGCTGGGGCCGGATGTTCAGGTTCCCTGGCGTTGTCTCCGTGTGTGAGTCTGTATCCGTAAAAGAGGACACTGGTCTTTTTGAGTTAGGGCCTCATCTGGACAGGTCCCACCTGCAGCGACCCAGTTGGCAGACAAGGCTGCACGCCGGTTTCTGGGCTTAGGACACCCACATCTTTGGGGACACAGTGCAGCCTGTGACATCCCCACCACACCTGTTGTCTGAGGGAACGGTGGCTCCCCAGGGCCACCCAGACCCAGGGACCGAGCTCTCCCAGGTTCCAGCGCTGGGAGGGCGCTGCCTGGAGGAGACCCGGCTCATGAGCACTGACCTCTCAGTCTCCAGCGCGCACCGGCCTCCGAGGACTTGTGGCCCCAGCGCCTCCCGTGTGCTGTGTGTGTCATCGGGAGTGGGTAGGTCTAGCGGCCATGGGCGCTGGAGGCAGGGCGCACACACGGGGCCGCGTGTCCCTGTGGGACGGACACAGGCGCCACGACCACCCGTGTCTGGAGCACACTCACTGTCCTCCTTCCATCGGGGGCGTAACGAGGCCGTGACAGCTGAGTAGGACCTGACGGGATGACCAGATATTCCCTACGTGATCCTCGGGAGTGGGACCCTTCAGGAAGGGGGACGGTGTGCACAGGGTCTCAGAAGGGTGCAGAGCCTGTCCAGTGCCCACTACAGGCTGGTGTCCCTCCAGGGCAGGGCAGCAGGAAGCTCAGTGTTGCCCCGGGCCAGGCCGTGTCCTGGGGAGTGTGACCCAGTGGGCGGCTGGGCTGTGAGCTCTCTGCCCCTTCTGAGAGGCCGGGCCCTGTCCCCAGACACTGCCTGGACAGCGTGTGGAGGCCCCGCTGCCCCCGCCGGCCCCGCCCACCCGAACTCCTGCGGCTGTTTCCGTAGATTCCACTAGGAAGCCGCGCCGGAGTCTCCTCCTGAAAGTTTTATTCCCTTCTCTCTGCAGCAATATGAAGAAAAGTTTGTTTTGAAGGACGGGTCCCCTGAGGGTAAGTCCCCCAAAGTCTTCCCTTATAGTGACTATCAAGGTGTGATGTCATGACCCAACGTCCTCCCTTCTGGGAAGCGGGACCCTGGGCCCCCAGGCAGCTCAGGGACGTCCCGTGGGCATCAGACTCGCGGTCCGACACTCACTGCAGACAGGAGGGCACACGGGCCTCCGTGCAGTGTCAGTTCTGGCCGTGAGGGCAGACGCAGGCGGCCCTGCGTTACCGCGCATCCACGGTTTGAGCAGGAACGTGAGTGGCCGATAGGAAGGCCTGGGTGACCCTGGCCTGGTGAGGCCCTGGGGGCTGCGGCGCTGCTGTCAGTGGGACGGGGGTGAGGGTTTCCTGCGGCACCAGCGACAGGCCGCGTGCTGCTTGTACTCTCGTCCTCTGACAGCTCAGGGAGACCCCCCACGTGGCAGATCCAAAGGTCACACAGTCGGGACCCAGCGAGGTTACAGACCTCGCCCCTGCTGCCTGCCTAGCCACTCTGGTCCCGCTGGTCAGGAGGGGCCGCCTCAGTGGACCTATCACCCCGGGGCTTGCCCCCCTTGGGCCCCGCAGGCCCCTCTGCCGGGCTCCCTGGCTCCGTGTGAATGAGCGTCAGGCCTGTCAGGAGCCCGGCCAGTTCCCGTCCTACCGCGCTCTCCTGTCCCCCTGCCTGGTCCCTTCTGCGAGGGCAGCCTGGGCACCCAGGGCCTCCTGCGGACCCTGGACCTGGTGCCAGCTGGGACCCTCACAGTGCACAGGACACGCCACGCCTGCCTCCCAGGGACGAGGCCAAGGCTCCCTTTGTGATTTTCTCTTTTCAGCCATGAACAGGATCTACTCCGAATGCGGGCAGGATGTTCCCAAATCTAGCTGGAGGAGGTTCATGAGGTTCTCGGGACTGGAGGAGAACGACCTTGTCATCTGTGAGCACGGGGACCCGGGGACCCTGGCGGAGCAGCCCCACAGGATGCTGCCGCGCTGGCAGAGCAAGCTGGAGCACATCGCATCCCCCTGCGGGCTCGTGGCGGCCCTCCGTGAGATGCGGCTGCGGGAGCGTCTGGAGAATGTTACCAACGAGCTGGTGCGGAAGGTATCTTAGGTCGTGAGGACGCAGAGCCCCGAACTGGAGTCAGCTCCTTTGGCAACGACTGGGACTTAGCAGCATCCTGGGTGCTGGCCTTCCCCAGGTCCCTTCCCGTGGGCGCCTTCACAGATCCCAGGTGGGACGGAGCCCCTTCCGTGTCCAAGGAGCTTCTTCGGGAAGCTTCTGACGGGGAGGACCATGCAAGGTGGGGTACCCTCTGCCTGCATCCCATATGCCTACAGGCTGCCCCTGAGGGGACTCCGGGCACCCTGAGCTGCTCAGCAGGGACCCACTGGCTGTGCTCGGTGGGCCCGAGAGCCGTGGCCTCCTCCAGAAACAGAGGCCAGGAGGGCTGGCTGGTCCTGGGTGTGACCCCAGCAGCTCTTTTGTTGATCTCTCAGGCACTGCGATGTCCCCGGCTTCCACTTGGGAGCGCCATACCAGGGTGACACTTATAAGTCACTCCATGACAGACAAGCCAGGGGGCACTCAGCTGTCACTAGGTTAGCTGGGGTGGGGCATGGGGACAGTTACTGTCACATGCCAGCTGTGGAGGCCTTTGTACAGTTCTTTACACATTTAAGCATAGGTGCTTTTACAGTTTTATTTATGTGTTAAAATTTCTCTTACATAGTGTGGTCACATGTTTGTAGAAACTTTTTTCACCCAATAAGATTTATATTCTAAATGGTGTTGCCTCTCATTCCTGTTGGGTGGACAACTCCGGGTGTGTTGTCCTGGGAAGGGGACGTGGTGCACAGAGAGTCAGGGGAGCCGAGGGTGTGGTTTGTGGGTGCAGGGCCCCGAATCGGGTACCAGAGTCTGGAGTGGCCTCTTGTCCGGGTTGTGGTGTCCCCGGGCCTCTGTCCCTGGGAGTGACAGCACTGTCCGTCCAGCGCTCCCCTGAGAACGCGCCCGCCCTGCCCCCTCCTCACTCACCCCGAGCAGCACCCGTCCTTGGACGTGCTCACCCGGGGCCCCGCACTCCCGTGGGGCCCTGACAACCTTCAGCTCCCACACAGTCCCTCGGCGAAGTCCACGCCATTCCAGCCAGCCTGTCCCGTCCAGACCCTTGGGCGTTATCCCCACAGGCATCTCCTCCCGAGTCCCCCCCACCCCAGGGTGTGAGGGTCCCCTGTCCCTCCCAGACCTGTGTGCCCAGCCCCCCTAGGCCCCCGCCTCCCTCCACGCTGCTGCCCGTCACTGACTCAGCTTCTGTCCACTCTGGCTCCCCTCCGGCCTCCCCGAGTCCAGTCTCTTCCACTGCAGCTGGACTGGGGGTGGGAGCACAGATCTGGCCTCCACCCTCCCCGCCAACCACCCTTACCCCACCCTGGGGAGGGTCTCTGCCATTCCTGATTTGTTTAAGGGAACTGGCAGCCCCAGCCCGCACCTCAAGTCCCAAACTCTGGCTGGCGTTGCTGCGTGGGTCCTGTGGTCACACTGAGTTTGTCAGCATCTTGCCTTCTCCTGGGTCACTCGCAGGACAGTCCTCTCTGCCTGGAACACACGCCCCCAGTCCACCCCCAGTCCCTTCCTCTCAGCCTGCTTGGAACTGGTCTTCTGTCGGGCCCAGCCCATTGCAGCCCAGGGGCGGATCTCTGACCGTCTGGCTGGGGGTTGTCCCCACACCACGGGGGTCATGCTGACTTCAACAGCCATGCACGAGATGACCTGTCCCTGAGGCCTGCGTCTCCGCAGAGGGACTTCGACCTCTGCCCCTCATCCTGTGCGGGACATCATGGAGGGACTGTCCTTCCCAGCACCCTGCGTGATCCCAGGGACAATGCTCCAGTGCGCCGGCCACGTCCACCTGTACACCACAACTCCCAGCATGCCGGGGGACCCTGGTGTTGAAGCCTGTGGCGGTTGCCTAGCGACCGGACCTGTTCCCTAGGCAAACCAGGGTCGCGGCGGGGTGGGGCAGGACTTTCAGTCCCACCAAGCGCACCAGATTCTGGGAATGAGTCCCTGTGGTTTGGGGTCCAGGATTACAAGGACGGCGGGTTGCTCCCAGGAGCAGGGTGAGTGCTCACAACAGGGCATTCGAGGGGTGACCCCAGCCGGAGGGGCTGGCCCCTGGGTCAGACAGGGGTCATCCCCGTCCTGCTGGGCCTGATTCCTCCGGGGTCTTGGTTGGCTGGCTTCCAGGCCCTGTGTGGCCGGAGACTCGGGGGAGACGCCCGCCTAGGAGGCGTAGGGGAGACCTGTCCCCAGCAGACTGGGCCTGAGCTCAGGACATCCTTTTGGGATTGAGGCCCTTCCCCGCTAGACCATCGCCTGCCCAGCCTCAGTCACCCCTTGGGCTGTGCCCGTGTCCTCTTGCGCCTCTACCCGTGATGGTCCCATGTGGCCCCATCCGGGCCTCGCCCTGCTGCCCCAGCTGGACCTCGGGGACAGGCCCAGCACGAGGGGTACTTAGTCCTCCGCCTGGCCGGGTGTCATCCGGGAATGGGTGGAGGGTGCCTGAGGTTGTTACTTAGGAAAATGGGGCTGTGGAAACAGGGGGGACACGGCTCACATGAAAGGACCGGGATTTTATGACGGCGTTCTTCTTGGCGGGCAAACCGCGCATTTGGGCGTCAGGACCCCTTTATTGGCCGGGAGGGTTGGGTGAGCAGCCCTGGCGGCCCTGCCCACCGAGTCCCTGGCATCATTGGGGTAGACGGGGGAGTCCACCGGCTGGTTCCCCGGGACCCACAGATTCATGACAGTCTGGGGCAACCTTCCCTCAGGACAAACACTGCACGTGGGTGTGTCCCCTGGCTGGTGGAAGTGAAAGGCCAGCTCCTCTGAGACAGCCTTAGCCCCCAGCACCCCTAGTTCAAGCTGTGCAATGCCTTCGGCCCCTGTGGTCCCCCTGCTCCCGAGGGCGTGCTGGGCCTCCAGGTGGGGGCTCAGTGACCAGGGAGTCACCCAGGTGACAGGCTGCTCAGCCACACCAGCACCCACCGTCAGGGCACCCAGCACATCAACGACGGGTGGCTGGATGCCAGCGCCGTCCCCACCCATAGCCAGAGTTCACAGCCGGATTGGGGAGCAGGCAGGGTGGGCTGGGTCCCAGCGGCGGGGGGTGGAAACGCCTCATTGATGGTGGGCCCGGGACAGGCTGTCCGGGTGGAAAAGGGCAGCTGGGTTCCTGTCATGCCTCCAGTGAAGCGTGTTCTTGATTAATTTTCACCGTGAACCACGTTGTTGTGGTCTTTCATTCATTTTTGTGGCTTCAGAACTTGAGCTTTTCGGAGCCTTGGTGAGAGGCGCCCTGTTTTACACCATGAGGCCTGGGGCGGGACCCAGGAGTTCTGAATGAGTGACAGGCTTTCCTGTCTGAACCCTTGACCTTGGGGCATCTCCCAGACACTGTCCTTTCCCAGGACACAGCCCGCAGGTGCCCGAGCAGAGGGCGGTGGCCCGATGTGCCTGTAGAACCAGCTGGGCCGTGACCCTTCCATCTTTACTGACACGGCTGCCACCTCCGGCTCCTCAGTGGAGTACGCCCCCCTGTCCAGAGTGTGTAGAGTGCAGCATGAAGAGACTCGGGGCGACCTAGGAGGTAGTACCTGTAGTTAACAACGTGGTATTGTGCGCGTCAAATGTCGCTAGGCCCTGGCTGGTGTGGCTCAGTGGACTGAGTGCCAGCCTGGGAACCCACGGTTTGCTGGTTGGATTCCCAGTCAGGGCACATGCCTGGGTTGAGGACCAGGTCCCCAGTAGGGGGTGCCCGAGAGGCAGCCACACATGGATGTTTCTATTTCTCCCTCTCTGCCCCTCTCTCTAAAAATAAAAATCTTTTAAAAAAATGTTGTTAAGGTAGATTTCATGTAAAGCTTTTTTACGCTAAGAAAAGGGGAAAGCAGAGGGTAACATTCAGAGATCCCGGGTATGTTTATGACGCCCTGTGGTGGCAGTACCACGGGAGAACACACGTGTGCAAACCTGTCACATCGTATACGTGAAACACATGCAGCGCCAGGCCCCCACAGGGAGACTGCCCTGCACACACGCTTTGGGACCAGAGCGACTCTAAACACCAGCAGCCTGGTTACCGCCGCCCAGGATGTCTGGGAACGCCCCCCTCACCCCCGCCCCCCGCCCTTCCGGGAAAGAGTTAGTCAGATTGGTTTGTGTGGACAGACCTGGAAGGAGTTGCCAATGGCGGGATGCAGCCGCTCTCCTCGAGCTCCAGGGAGGCTCAGGGGCAGTTATCACTGAGGTTGAGGGGATGTTTTTAGCAAGGCTGAGGGCCCGTTTCAGGGACGCTGAGGGGCAGTTTTCAGGGAGTCTTAGGGGCAGTCTCCAGGGAGGCTGAGGAGCAGATTTCACGGAGGCTGCGGGGAGGATTTCATGGAGGATAGGGTCAGTTTTCAGCAAGGCTGAGGTTCCGTTTTTAGAGAGGCCATCGGGCACTATTTAGGGAGGCTGAGGGTAGTTATCACGGAGGCTAATAGAAGGACATCAGCTGGGCTAAGGGGAGGTTTTCAGCCACGGTATTCGTCACTTTTCACCCAGGCTGAGGGCCAATTATTAGAGGAGTCATGGGAACTATTTAGGGAGGCCTAGGTCCAGTGCTCAGGGAGGCCGAGGGGCAGTTTTCAGGAAGGCTGAGGAGCAGTTTGCAAGGGGTCAGAGGGGCAGGTTTCAGGGACCCTGAGGGGCAGTTTTAAGGGAGGCTGAGGGCCAGTTTTCACAGGCTGAGGTGTAGTTTGCAGACAGTTAGGGGGCAGTTTACAGAGAGGCTGCAGGGCAGGTTTTGTAGACGCTGTGGGGCAGTTTTCACAGAGCCTGCGTTGTAGTTTTCAGAGACAGTATCGTGCAGTTTTCCCGGAGGCTGATGTGTAGTTTTCACAGAAACTGAGGGGCATTTTTTGAGAGGCTGAGGGGCAGTTTTCACAGAAGCTGAGGTGTAGTTTGCAGACAATTAGGGGGCAGTTTACAGAGAGGCTGTAGGGCAGGTTTTGTAGAGGCTGTGGGGCATTATTCACAGAGGCTGAGGTGTGGTTTTCATGGAGGCTGAGGGGCAGTTTCAAGAGAAGCTGCGGGGCGGTTTTGAGAGAGGTGGAGAGGTAGTTTTCAGGGAGGCTGAGGGGCAGATTTCACAGAGGCTATGGGGCAGGATTCAGGGAGGCCAAGGACCAGTTTTTGAGAGGCTGAAAGGCGTTTTTCAAGACGCTGAGAAACAGTCTTCACAGAGGCTGTGGGGCAGTTTTCAGGGACACTTAGGGGTAGTTTTCAGGGAGACCATGGTGCAGTTTTCAGGGAGGTTGATGTGTAGTTTGCACGGAGGCTGATGGGTAGTTTTCAGAGAGTTTGATGGGCACTTTTCAGAGAGGCTGAGGGGCAGTGTGCACAAAGGCTGTGGTCTAGTTTTCACGGAGGCTGAGGGGCAGTTTTGACCGAGGCTGAGGGGAGGGGTGGGTCGCTGATCTTGGGCATGCACAACCTCTGATCTCTGGGGTCGGGACGGAAACCCAAGCATCCGGGACAACCAGCACACCAGGATCCAGAGCACCTCAGGGTGGGGCATTCTCGCAGGCCGAGTTCGGCTAACTCGGCTGTCCCTCTGGGGAGGATAAGCGCCAGGAATGGGTGGGCGACAGACAAGTCCCAGGGCCTCCCCAGCCTGAAGCTCCCCAGTGGGGCTCCTCAGTGGCCTCCCAGGGCTGGACAGAGTAGCAGCGGGGGGGGGGG